CGACAGACACATATTGGCAAAGGTTCCACACATTGGAGCGCTGTTGCGGAAGGGAAAAGAGGGTGGATGGGGAAAGCCTCGTCTTACCCGCCGTTTGGGTGCTGGCATTCCAGAACCCATTCCACGATCTCGCTCAACTCAATCTCTTCTTCCAAATTACGACCCATCAACGCCATCCCCATCAGGGCCCAGTACACGGCGGACATCTGCAGAGGGAAGGAGGGAAAAGACGAGGAACAAGGGATAGTGAGGGTGGAGAGGAAGGAGGGAGGGGGGGTGAGGAAGGGGGAACAGGGAGGGATGGACTGCAAATAGTCAATTTAGCGGACAAATAAAATGATTTATACAGGGGTGTTCTTCCGTTCACGGGATATACCTTCAAGTGCTCCATGACCACGTGCTCGAAGGAATCAGTCTTTTTCACCAAGCCGCGTATAAAGCAAACGTGCTTCTCTTCCCAAAACACCTCCTTCGGCAGTGTCGACGTTTTCTCTGCTTTTTCTTCTTGATAGTTCTCTCCCCTTGCAGCGTCCCCCTCCCCAAGTACCTCTGCATCTTCCGACGCAGGTGTCGAGGGGGATTCAATTTTCCCGACTGTCATATAGGGCTGGTAAGGGAGGGAATGAGTTGATGCGGGAAATGATAGAAGGCGATATATGTTAACGGCGACTTCAAGAAGGCAAGTGGAGATGCTAAAAAATTTGGTCGGTCGGAGGACCTTACAATCATCTATGACACAGACACACCCCCAAATTGCATGTATGTTAATGCCATTCTCTACAGGCATTGCAGGTTTTGGCGTCGTATTTTAAAGTCCATCCGCCCGATTCGGCGCTTATCAAATTCTTGCGTTAAAGCGATTGCTCGCCCTGATACATTCCGTTACAACGAGGCTTGTTTTCTTCCATGCTGTAGCTTTAATACTCTTTCAAGAAAAAAAGTAGGTGGCCACTGTGACATCTAACGATAGAAATTATGTCTTGATGCATCGATACCCATGGTTCTTGGGCCGGAGAGTACCTAGACCTATCTGAGCTTTGCTCCCAACCTCCCCCCCCTTCTGCCATGTATGCAAACCCCGTGCTCTCTCCACGCAGCTTTTGTCTGGACACTTTCACATTGTACAGGGAGCTGCGTCATGATATCTTTGCAGACATTCTATGGTGCAGATTCGTTATTAGTTCTTTGAGTTCCGTCCTTGGTATTTAAGACAACTTTCCCACAAATTGAACCGGGGATAAATGAGGGCAAGCCGATCAGACAAGGTCCTGTAAGAGTGTATATGCGGATAGAGTGTGACCACTGCAACTCCAAGCCCCTACTC